ATACAGTATATAACGACGTCAAAAACTACTCATAAAAATTACATAAAATTAGGATTCAGACCAAGTATAATAATACTTATGCTATTATTGTTACCAACGAGACAAATTAAGTCATATATCTGATCCACGTAACATATCAGGATGATCCAGGTATCAACATGTAGCTTTTAAAGCAGGAATCTGAAAGAACTATATGTAAACAAATTACTTCATAGTAAACTATTTAAAAAACTCACTTCCTTCTGAATGTTGTTGGTTTTGATGGTGCAGGGTAAAGTATAAATTTATAGAAAGTAGCGGGGGGCATCATAGTTATCGGTTCGATATCATAACAAACAGAACYGATAATATTTGTTCATGTTTGCCAGCATGGCGATGAGAATGCGTGTTTATTTTTATGTTTTTTGGTCAAGCCACTTCCCGTCCAGCTCGTCCCGAGCAACTTTCAAGTGGAGTCAGAAAAAACAACTTTCTCACTAGAACAATAATTAGAATACTCGGTGCTGAAAAACAACCAGTCATTTTAATAATTATTAATATTATTTTACCAATTAACCCTGTGTGTTACACACAAACTTTATAATTATAAACATAAAAAGGTCGGAATAACTACTCTCAATTTGAGAACATGAAATGTCCGTTACCTCCTGAATGCAGCACAGAGTCCTTTCTGATGAAATACTAACAACAACAAGTTAGTGTTCAAGAACTCATAGGACTTAAATCATTGCTGGGGCTTTGGACAAATCCAATAAAATTGMCAGAGAGCACACAGATCTCAAGCATTTTAATGATGGAAATGATGGAGCTTCACAACCAGCCGTTCACCCTGGCTAAAGAATGAAGCTTTTATCTCCTTATTAGCCACCGTTAGCCACAGTTTACCACAGTTAGCCATAGTTTATCACAGTTAGACACAGTTTACTATCGTTAGCCACGGTTTACCACCGTTAGCCATGGTTTACCACAGTTAGACACAGTTTACCACAGTTAGACACAGTTTACCATCGTTAGCCACGGTTTACCACCGTTAGCCATGGTTTACCACAGTTAGACACAGTTTACCACAGTTAGACACAGTTTACCACAGTTAGACACAGTTTACCACAGTTAGCCACGGTTTACCACCGTTAGCCACGGTTTACCACAGTTAGACACGGTTTACCACAGTTAGCCATGGTTTACCACAGTTAGACACGGTTTACCACAGTTAGACACAGTTTACCACAGTTAGACACAGTTTACCATCGTTAGCCACGGTTTACCACCGTTAGCCATGGTTTACCACAGTTAGACACGGTTTACCA